TATACAGACCAGATCTCTGAGGAGCTCGGTGGAGCCCTCCTCGGCAACAGGCCACGCCCCCCAGGAAGCTGCTGGTGAAGTCTTTATTATGTAAAGTGGACTAGCCTGGCTAGTCTTAATGGGCCTATTGACAAAGTGCGGGTAGGCAGAAAGCTACAGGCAACTATTCTGTCTTTTAAAACATGCTTCTTTTCACATCCAGAGAAACATTCTGCCTTTTCAATATTTCCTAGGATATTTCATTTTTTCTGGGAGAGGGCTGGATGATAACTTCCCACAGAATAATGGGGGAAATGCTACTTGAATTCCAGTCCAGCTAAGCTTGGCTAGTTGGTGGGAAATGAGAAGAAGGGGATGTCATGGGAGCAAGTGGGAAAGACTCTCTTGTTTAGTAAGGGGGACTTGAAATCTTAGGGGCTAGGGTTGAATTGCCATCAATAAACTGGGTCTATTGTAGGGAGCATCAGAGTGGGGAGTCCTGCTTACCTAAGCGCCAACCATACTCCCACGAAGACAGCACCGGGTACCAAAATTTTTCTTCAGGAGACTTCATCATTCTCTCTTTGAGGTACTTCTGTCTTCCTTTGCCTTCATGGGAGAAGCCCTTGTACAGCAGCTGTGTGGTCTCTGGGGTTGGGACCCTCATCTCTGGAAGAGGCTCCTGAAGATTCAGCCCAACCTTCTCTTCTGCTGGCACCTGGCGGTCTTCCTTCTGGGGAATGCCTTCTCGATTTCTAGAGATCGAGTCCTCCTTGGGAAGGTAGATGTCGGGCAGCAAACACTTTTGCCTGGAGATGCCATGATTGGGCAGGCGCTGGGGGTATTTTTGTCCATATTTTGCCTTCCAGCTGATCCTGCAGAAAACCTCCTTATTAATCAGTTCCCTCCAGCCATCCTGTTCCTGGCTAGTTAGTGGGCCCCTCATAGCCTGCAAGCAAAGGCAAGTGCTGGTGCGGGATTGTTGGCGGTGCTTGGTATAACTTATCACTTCCTGCTTCTGGTGTCCAAGGAAACAGGCACAAAAGGGTCTGTGAAGCCAGGCTCAAATTACAGGCCAATGGTTTGCCTCGTCTCCCCACCACTGTTGCTAGGCTATTGTTGCATTAAGGTTGTCTGTGCATGAAAGGTGACAGATGCCAAAGACCCACAGTGCTGATTTTGGTGCAAGAATAGGCCTTAAATCCAACTGCCAAAATTTGTGCAGGGCTTGTAAACCAAAATGAAACAACAAAGGCATTTCCCTGAACACTTGTGTGTGTCAATGTGTCTCTGTCTCTGTCTCTCTCTCTGTCTGTCTGTCTGTCTCTGTCTGTGTGTGTGTATGTCTGTCTATGTCTGTCTGTCTGTCTGTCTGTCTGTCTGTCTCTCTCTCTCTCTCTCTCTCTCTCACACACACACACACACACACACACACAGGAGGACAATTTTAACAATTGATCTTGATTTTAAATTGTACATAAGCAAGTAATGGATTTGCCAAATGTATTTCCCCTTGCAAATACATTTGGCAAATCCTTGGCTTTAAGTTGTGTTGGATCTAACCCAGGGAAAATGTAAATGGCTGTCTGCAGAAACCACAAAATGTTGCATTGGCTACTCTCCTGGGTGGAGAGTGTTTTTTTTTCCCTGAGAGAGCAAAACTGGCTCTTGTTCAGCCCTATTCATCCCCACAAAACTGGGCCATTTCAACTGTTTTTTGTATTCCACCACCTTTTAAAAAGCCACTTTTTCTGCGGAGCCCCCTTCTTCGTAGCAAAGGTATACCTTCTCCAAGACATGTACCAGCCCACGTCCTAAATCTGGAATGGATAAATATCTCATTTGCCCTTCAGTGGGCATTTGAATGGTTGCCCTTTGCAATCATGAATCTGAGTCCAACCAGAATTCAGCCAAGAACAGGGGGATAGGGAATGAGAAGGGGAGAAAGAAGGCTAGAGAAAGGAAAGACTTCAGAACAACCAGGTGCTTTCCTTCTGGTAAAGCTTCATCATACAGTGGAAGAAATGAGAGTGTTTTGTTTTCAGGAGGTAAACTGTGACTAATTTGAGCCACAACCTTCAATTAAGTCTTATGCCTTGGCATGGCATGGCATGGCATGGCATGGCATGGCATGGCATGGCATGGCGAAAAGAATACCAGGGTTTGCGGTAGCTGTATATAATTCCCATGTTCTATTAGAAAACATGTCATGACATTAAGCCAGGCTAAAAGAAATGAATATTTTTATCCCCTTGCTCCCACTACTGAAAGCAGGACAAANTGAACAACTTGCCTCCAGAAATTGTGAATGCTCCAACACTGCACGTTTTAAGAAGAGATTGGACAACTATTCTGAAATGGTATTGGGTTTCCTGCCTAAGCAGGGGAGTTGGACTAGAAGACCTCCAAGGTCCCTTCCAACTATTCTATTCTATTCTATTCCATTCCATTCTCTGCCTACCTCTGGTTATGAATGTGGACTCTTTTTGGCATTCTGTCTTAACTAGAATATTTTGCTTTGGTGTCTTAAATAAGCTAACTAATGTTTTAGTAAATATTATCTTTATGTCCCTGGGCAAAATATTGTGGTGCAGCTTTGCCTTTACATTCCGTTTCAGTAACCAGCAAACCTTTCCAGCAAACCAACACAGCCTTTTTCTTTCCTCCTGCTCTTATACACACTTTTCTCTTTTACATATACACAACTGGATCTATCTTCTCCTCTCCTCCCTCCCCCTCTCTCGATATGTGAGATTCCTGGATTTTTTATTAGCACTGCCAGATTTGGGAAGCCAAACTCCAGGCAAATTAGAAGTTTCTCTGTGCTCCATCAAAGGCAATCTATATTATGTACTTATTAGGTAGGGCTATATCAGTAGTGGGATTCAAATAATTTAACAACCAGTTCTCTGCCCTAATGATTTCTTCCAACAACCAAATTGCTCAGAAAGTTAACAACCAGTTCTCCCAAAGTGGTGCGAATTGGCTGAATCCCACCATCCAGTGCTGGTAACCTCACATTTCAACTCCTGACAAAATGTCATGTGACAGGAGAATGAAGTAGACGTGAAGGAGGAGAAATAAGAAAGAAGGAAGGCCCATGAGCTAAAGGGCAAACAAACCTTTACAAATCCAAATGGTGGTGCAGGAGATGGGCAGCAAAAATAGGAATAATTCAGGGAGGAAGGAATGTGAGGAAAGTTCCATAACGGGTGCCTGTTCTTCTAGCATCCAAATGCAGCTTAATCAGTGGTGGGATTCAACATTTTTTACTACTGGTTCTGTGGGCGTGGCTTGGTGGGTATGGCTGGGCTTGGTGGGCGTGGCAGGGAAAGGATACTGCAAAATCCCCATTCCCTCCCGACCCCACTAACCTGCTTCCCAGCTCCATTCTCCTGTTCAGGGCAACAAAAGAAGATCAGCTGGGAGGCAGCGGGGGCAGGGCCAGCCTATTTGCCGGTTCTCCGAACTACTAAAAATTTCCACTATCGGTTCTCCAGAACTGGCTGAATACCACCTCTGAGCTTAATATGCGGAGATATGTTCTGACCACTGCATAGATATTCCTTTTTCTTGGTTGAGCTGAATGACTCTCTGTCTACCATTGAGTCAGTAGAAACCATGGCATTTTCTGTGTCCATTACTACTAATACCTATCATTATTTTCCCACTATTTCTCACCTCTGTTCTCCGTCCCTACAGTTACTGACTATCTTCCATGGTCATGGCTGACCAAAATGTTACACACTTTGAGGCTGCCCTTGGATNGAGGGAGAGAGAGAAGCAGTTTCTTCTTAATGTTTCCTGAGGTATGTTTGAATAGAAAGCATCAACCACCACATCTGTACATAACATAATGCCCTAGCCATGGTTTCCTTGGAAAGATAAACTTGCTTGAACAATTTTTAACAGTATTCCAACTGCCAAATGAAGCAAAGTTCAGATCCCTCTGCACGACAAACACAATTCATCATCTGATAAGGCAAGAGAACAATAGGCATGTCATCCATTTCCTGAGATGATGAAATGCGCATCAGGGATTTAATTGCCCTGAAAGACAGATTGCTTGTGAGGTCACCACCTATAGCTGCAGAGAGTGATGACCTGTTCTGCTCAAAGCTCCAGTACAGACATCTGTGCAGGCTTACAATTAGCAAGTAACCATGGTTTCCTCTTATCTGACAAAGAAGAGGAATCCTGTTTTGTTGGTTGCTCAATTTGAATATGTTTGAATTGCCTAAAGCAATGGTTCCCAACCTGTTGGGTACCAGGCAGTGGTGGGATTCAAAAAGTTGTACTACTAGTTCAGTGGGCGTGGCTTGGTAGCCGTGGCATGGCTTGGTGGGCATGGCAGGGGAAGTTTACTGCAAATTCCAAATTTCCTCCCAATCAGATGGGACTCAGGAGGCAGAGAATAGATGGGGTGGGACCAGTCAGAGGTGGTATTTACTGGTTCTCCAAACTACTCAAAATTTTTGCTACTGGTTTCTCCAGACTGGTTAGAACCTGCTGAATACCACCTCTGGTACCAGAGACCAGTTACGTGGAGAGAGGTTTTTCCATGGACTGGAGGGGGCATGGTTTCATGTGCTATCTGCATCCCATAGATGGGGCATCATTTGTTTGCATGGCCCAGTTTCTGGCATGCTATGGACTGGTGCCGGGGGTTGGGGACTCTGGCCTAAGGATCTGCTGCTTTATAGCTCCCACTGAGCAAAATATGGCTTGTAAAACAATAATGTTTTTAACATGGAATGTCAACGGACTGAACTCTCCACAGAAGAGGAAGA